TCCACCGAATGAACTTTGAAGGCAAGGTTAATTGTTCACATTGTTGTTTGGCAGATTGAAGTTTTCTGCTGAGATTGTAAATGTGAATAGATCAGTGTTATCGGTGTGGCCTTGTAGCTCAGCTAGTAGAGCGTGCGCTGTACAAAAGCGTAGGCGGCGTCCATGCATGGGTTCCAATTCGACCGAGGCTACTGAACTCTTCACAAATTCAACAGAAGACTTCAATCCGCCAAACAACAATGTCAACGATTCTTGTCTTGATTTTTTTGAACCTATACTTGTTAATTGGAAAAAGTCCAGTAAACCATTAAAAAGCAGGATTTCTTTCACCGGCGCGTGTACCTGCGTGTGCTGAATTACAATGCTTACGGTGTTAGGTATTAAATCATGATATCAAATACATGGATTGCCGTTGGGGAGGGGGATAATTCCGAGTGTTCTAATTCCATGCCCCTTCCAATCGGACGGGAAGCCGATGGCAACTATGAAAATAAACTCGTAGAATCATGACCATTTAAAATCCCGGCTTGTGAATAAGTCATCGAAGAAGTCTTCACAATCAGCGGCAGTTGCCTCCGCATTCATTCGGTTCTGATTGCCGAACTAGATCCCAACTGACGCCTGTCTTTCGTGTGGGGGTCGACTTCCTACGGGTATAGGTGATCTTTTTAAACTCTACTCAACCAGTCGACTTCAATCAACTAACACCAATGTTTGGATACCGGAATCAGTATGCTTCTTAACTTTACACCCGTGTTGAACCTGTTTGCCACCCTCTACACATTTTCACCCACAAATCTGTTTGGTCACCTCTCTATCGTTTGTCATTGGTTTGATCCGTGAGCATAATCGATCATGAAACATGCACTTTTCGCCCGCCACGAATGATTCCATTTCTTCGTTCACCCACCAAACACGTTTACGTCCCCCCGCAACCCTCTTCGTGTGACCGTTGTTCCTAACCCTGATATAGTCTGACTCACCCAGACCTATGATTACCGTATGGAGTTGCTTAATCTTATTCGGATTAGTCCTCTACCTCACCCATGAATCGCACTGTCCCATGTGCACATGTGTGCTCTGACATTATTTCACTTATCGCTTGTTCTCTTGACGGTAGTGAACTTCCTCGTTTGTACTTTGGCTCTCGATTGGCATTGTGCATTTCGCCGGGTCAGGCATATCCCCTGGGAACGCCACGATTTGAGATGTGTTGCTTATGCCATTGTAAGGCATTATATTTACAGTACCGCATCCTTTTTCGCTATTATTTGGAGTCGAATAAGCCTCAAGAACATTTGGACTGGGCTTCTGAGGTTGCGCGTCACTCAACATTCGCCTAGATGGATGTTTGGATTTAACAACCTCTGTGTGATAAAACGCAGACGGGGCGGACCCCATAGTCGCGAAGACCTGTTATTTGGTAGTGGTAACCGGCAATCTAAGCTCCGCGGGACTTGGAGTGGCGAGCCACATAAGGCCCAACTAGGTCAGGCGTGATACTGAAGCGGACGACAGTGAAGCTGTCCACCACTAAAGTTGGGTGGAGGTGGCGGGCTCGGACCTCGAACAGCAGACTCCAAAGCACACCAATGACATCGACTAGACCAACGCGCCACCACCACCCTAGACAATCAACTGATAGTATGCGAATAAAACTGCGTATGTCAGATAATCGCCCGTACGACGGACAGTAAAACCAAGGTCACAGACTGAAGAATTTCCTCTCAAGGTCTTGAGTTTCAGTCAACGTGGTGCTCTTCAGATTGCACTTAAATGATCGAGGTACGTGTAAATACAACACACATGATCTCCCTCTCTCTACCCTCTCTTGTTTGTTTCCTCGCCTGTTGTGCCCTAAACGTTCAAAACCATTCTCAAACCTACTCGTACTCTAACTGCGTGATTTCCAGGTAAAAGAACGTCAATTCTGTATAAGAAACTTTCATCAAGTTCCCCTTCAGGATAAACAACGAGAGCTTCAATAGAATAACAATACGTACCTGGATGGTGTGATCACGGTCAAATCTTCGCCTAAAGTCTGAATGACTCGTCGGCCCCAAATCCACAAACCGACAGCGATGCCCAATCCACCGTATAGTAAAATCCACATGGGAGTGGACATTTTCGAATCGATCTGCTGCGTGATACCAACAATCCATAGACCAATCAACGGGCCGATTGCATTGCTACAAATAAAAGATATGAAAAATGGATTGTTTGGTAATATAAGTGGGAAATTACTTGTATCAAAACGAAAATCGATTGTACTATCAACGCAATTATATCTTACGCTGTTTTCTCAGAGTGCTCATGATAAGAGGATTCTTTATACTTTATTCGCCTAGACTTGAGGAAAGGTATTCTCATACCTGTCAATTAAAATTGGGAAGCATTTATTCCATTAGGATTGAAGGCAGTGACCCGAACGTTATATACGGTACGTCTCAATCGCTTCTAGTCGCTTGACTTTGGCTGTGAGGAACATCTCTGAATGTCTGCACCCGATCTGTTTGACCATGTAACTGCCTGAATAAGATTTTCAAACCAATGGACAGGTCAGCTAGAGTCAGCAGATGACATATTATTGCAGCGTTTACCTACAACTTCCGATTAGCTTTTGGGTTGAGGATAAGTATAAAGAACAGTATATAATCTCAATTTGTTTTCGCCATCAGTTTCATGTGGTATTAAGCAGTTTCCAGTACCACTCATAGATCATTAAGTAACACGGAAAACGAATATACCTAATAGACCATACATAAGACGCGAGCAACTAGGCAACCACCATGGGGTAACTGATAATTTCGGGCCTTGTGTCAGACTTTTAAAATACCGTGGATAAAAATCGGAGCAAATAGGTTCGACTGAGCGTGACGTTTGTACAGGTAAGAAACGTGGTGTTATTATGAAATGGAACCAAGGTTGAGACAGACCGGTGGAAAGGAAGACAGGGATGTGATCAGGCAGAATAACGCCAAAGTAACAGTCAACAATTTAGTTGTGATTTTATTTATTTGATAATCACCGCTTCAGAGATATCCATTAGCAGTGGACCACGGGGTCATGCGGTAACCTGGAACACGTCCGTAGTCTTGACTTGGAGCTTGGAATGCAACAAACGGTGTAGGTAATGAACAATTGGTTGCTGCATTTGTTCATTCTTCTATTTATACATTCCCCAGTTATATTGCCTCCAAACATTCCATCTTCCTTTGAACCCTTTAACTCGAGTATAATGTCTAAACACATGCGTTCTCTCAGGGTGTTGACCGCATCTGGTCCAGACAACTTAAGTCCTTTACTTCTTACGCACGATGCACTGCCACTGTCTCACACTTTTGCACTTATTTCAAAAACTTACCTTTTACTTCTCCTGTACGACATTTCAATTAGGCTGACGTCGCCATTTCTGTTTCTGTGTGCAGCCAATCAGAATTGAGTGCACATAACGCAAACTTATTCCGCCTCTTTATGTTTTTCACTTAATCCGGTTTTAGTCTTAATCCCGAAAAATGTCTTGAATGTGTTTTTACTTTTAACTGCTATCCATCTCCCTCCGACAATGTATAGATTCAGGGATAACCGATGAGCAGGGTCAGGTGTAATACTCGAACGTAGACTTTGTTAACCTTCACATGCCGAAACTGTTGCTCGCAAGCTGAAAGTGCTCTCATTTTAGATAGGGAAATCGCGTCACTGCTGTTAGGATAGGAGCTTTTGTTCAACAACGTATCCTCCCTATATCCATCCACCTCTTCCTTATGGTTCTAATAGACAACGTCTGTGATGCGCATATTGATTAGTGCTCGACGCTTGCTGACAATATTCTATTTGATTTCACCCATCCTTTAAACATTGACCGTTGTGCATGTAATGCCACCCATCTACCTGTTCTAAGAAAGTAAATGTATCCCATCTCGGATATTTGCTACAAGACCTGTTTGGTACCCTATCATGCCCGGACACTGACCAAAAGGGAGAGCGTTTGCTCTGATTTTTCTAATGCGTTTAGTAGTTGAGTCACATTTTTGCATGCTTGATGTCCCACTTGTTTTTTTGACGGTATTGTGGCGGTTGTTTTCTTTTTTGGCTGAACGCTTGTATATAACTCGTTGTTATCCCAGTTATCTTCCATTTCCCGTGTTTAACTGTTTCACCTCCTTTACACTCTGTTCTGTACCCCAAATCCACCTTTCCCCTTTTGTTTTTATTGTTGTTGCGTTGGCACCATGCTTGTCTACAAGCCGGTGGTATATATATATATATAAACTGTTTAAACCTTCAAACCAATGTAATACAACGTGCCACAAACAATGACTGTTTCGGACATATTTGAATATTCTGTGTTCGAAGTGCTTCAAATCGCGGATGCATTGTACCGAACAGGTATATCAGCCGTTCGTTCCATGAGCCAGTGCTTTTCCCAACAAAACAGTGACTAGCTCTGTGCAACAATTGAAACTTTGCAGATTCTCATTCCTGAACACACAGATTCCTCAGTCTTGTATTGAAACGTGGGGATGTAAGACTACTAATACTGTTTTACAGCTTTTCTCAGTGGTATCGACATCAAATCTCACGATAGCCTGCATGTTTGTTTTGAGAATACGCATGTGTTTGTCTGTATTAGATGCCGTGTTTACTCTCCAGATCAACACAATATACAGTGCAATTGCTTCATCGTTTACCATCATCTCGTTCTTCTCACCAGTGACCTTAAACAAGTAAATTCCCTCTGACCCTTTCTGTGATCTGATTGGATCATATTCCGCGATCTGCGACACTTGGAATCCCTCACCCAACAAGAGACTGTCTGATTACCGGCTTGTACGTTTTGTAATGCTCTCGTTGTTACGTCCAGTCTATCTGTGTGCTGATGGCACACCTGCTGCACAGTCGAAGTTCACTGGACCTGCCTGAGATTCACGACTGTAAACAAGGTGTGGTTTCTCGCTCGGGTTAGCTGGGCAAGCACCATGTCCCTCGTTGAGGTTGAATCATCCGATCAATTTTCCATTCCGAATTTTCCACATGGCGCACCGCTCCACAACTGATTCTCTTGTGGTGATTCTCAACCAACACTTAGGCAGTCTCAGATTTGGAACCTAGCCTCCTCCTGTGCCAGCCCCGAAAATCACCCAACCGATCGGGTTCATTTGTCGATTGATCGGATGATTCAACCTCAACGAGGGACATGGTGCTTGCCCAGCTAACCCGAGCGAGAAACCACACCTTGTTTACAGTCGTGAATCTCAGGCAGGTCCAGTGAACTTCGACTGTGCAGCAGGTGTGCCATCAGCACACAGATAGACTGGACGTAACAACGAGAGCATTACAAAACGTACAAGCCGGTAATCAGACAGTCTCTTGTTGGGTGAGGGATTCCAAGTGCCGCAGATCGCGGAATATGATCCAA